CCAAAATCCATTTTCAAGCTGTATAGTGTATAAGAGAAGCAGAAAGCTGTTGGATATATACTTAGACTCACTATTATTTTATAATGAGTACTACAAAAATAGTGAACATTCAACAGCTGAATTCTTCTAGCATATCATAATGCTTCTATATAAAGATACAGAAAATAAAAACGAAATTAATGCAAAAATTTGTTCCACTTCTTATCTCATAAAATCTATCTCAAATTGTCAAATCAGGAGTTTTTCCAACAAAAAACTATACGAAGTTCAACAATAAGCACCTGACATATAAGAAAATGTTTCAATTCCATCAATTATATCCAATAAACAGTAGATGACAATGATAAGGATTCTATAATTTTACGCCGAAAACTTGACTGTCAAAAAAGCCAAAACAAATCTGGAATGTCGTTGTTCTATAAGACTTATTACAGATATTTCGTCATAACAGAGAAGCAGCGATATGTAACTAAAATCGACCAATGATGGAAAAGGGAATGCCGGAATAACTACAGATGTTTTCAGTACGACGAAAAACTAGTAAACAATCTAACGACGATTCCAAATACACGTCTCAATGGTCTCATACAGTAAGAGTAGTTCAATAACCAAGAAAAGCAATGATAACATGGAGTGTCGCGTTCGAAAATCTCCAGAAACTGGTGACCTACTCTTATGAACGTTCTTTTGTCCAAAAGATGATCTAACACTCTGATTTATTCAGATATCGCCCATAGGACATTCAATTACAGCTACTTTCATCCATGTAGCGACATTGATTATATATACTCTCATCGGATTGAGTGTTATGTTCAGTACGTTGATAAAAGCTCACAGATGGCTTCTTCTCCGAGCTCGTTCACTAGCATATCAAACCAGATGCTTTATTCTTCTTTTTTTTAACGGTAGAATGCTCAATCTGAAAATAATTGCACAAACCGTTTGTTTGAGTTGAATCAACTTGCATTCTTCGCACTACAATCATTATCAGGCAAATCTCGAAATTTGTTTTTTTTTCTTTCTATTAAGCATCTGTTGGTGTTACAGCTCTATTTCGCCACATTTTTACTAGATACATATTAATTAACCTAATGAATATCTTAGTCTGGGAATAATTTTATCGAAGTAGTAAGGTACGATTCCTCATTTTTCATAGAACAATATTAAAAAGGGCACCTTTAGTGAGACACATATAAGTCTTCACAAATAGTCATCCAACTCGATTCGTTTACTACCCTTGCTTTAGATAAATGAAAAAGATGTAGATGAGCGTTATGATACAAAAATGACATACTAGAATTTGATGATGGTCCAGGTCGCGCCGTAGTCTTAGCACCATTGATACCGACTATGAGCAAAGACAAAAACAGGAGTGTTATTCTCCTTATCAAAACCTTTAATTCAAAGCTATTTTTAAAACAAGTAACATTAAAGAAAATCTTACCTCTCGATGCATTGTAGTGAGCAAATATGAATCTGGAATGCTTGACAAGTGTGCAGATATCAATATAGATTATCCTCTAAAATGGATTAAAACCTCTCAGAAATAAACTTGTACAAATCAGATTCTTTCACATTCTATCGTGTACAATCATGTGCAACTAACTATTCATGAACATATATCAATCTATTTTGAACGATTGTCACTAAATGCTGCATAGCAATGTCCTGTTCATTGGTTCACAATACACTATTTCACTTCATGTTATGTCATGCTCTCGATTGCTTCGATACATATTCATATACACGTGGTCCTAAAACCTAATCAATCTAATTGGTACAAAAAAACGAAAATACACTTGAAAATGTGTTGAGTTCCGAGCATGATAGCGACAAGCATCCGCTTAAAGACAACCAAACATATTCTTTACCATTTAACTTTCTAGTTATGACTATCTAATGATGAAAAGAGCAGGAAAATACGGGTAGCATTACTACATTTTCATCTCTATCGAGCAAATAAGTTTTGTGATGATAGCACATCGTCATGAAATAAATTTGGTCTAGTCTTCGTTCAATAGATGACAAATACAAGTCATCGATTGTAATAGTCAGAGTTGATCTTGAGAGTAAACATCTCCAACACATGCTCTCACAAGTCTTTTCTTTAAACTAATCAATTTTATGAGCTAGATGATATTTCCACAGCGATAACTAATTTCTCATCAAAAGAGGGGGCTTTGAGGAACAGATATATATTAGTTACCTATGATACGAGAAAGTTCAGAAGACATGTATATAACTTACTTCAGCAAAGTCGAAAGTATGAAAGGACACTAGGAGACATGCGTCAATAAGTAATGGCAAGTGATAGAAACTCGAGCTTTCGAAGTGACATCTAATGAATACAGTAAAAATGGTAAATCTGCTCTTTTATCTTTCTAATTGACAAAACTGGAGAATCTCTTTCTCGTTTTACCTTTTACTGTAGCAACACGAGATACTAGAACACAAGAAACACACTTTGATCCTCTTGAATATAAATGACTTTCATAGATTTAGATTTTCGTACTAAATTTAAAACTAGCAGTTTTAAAACTCAAGAGAAAGGAAACACAGCTGATATCATATCCGTTATTAATAACTGTCTCTTTCCATAACAAGTAGGTCGTCGACAAAAACTGGAACTTCTGCCCATGAAACTGATATCAACAAAAAGAACTATACGTACTCTCGATCAGTTTCGTCACATTCTACCTAACCATATCATATATATGAAATTCTGATTTAATTTTCTTTGTGTGATGCCTTATTTATATAAATGAATAAATCTTAAAACCCCTGAAACATCCGATTTCTCATCTCAATAAATGGATTTATATATATTTATATAAGGTTGAACAATTCTGAATCTCTACTATTTCTGGCTTCCCATTCTGGTTTTAATCTCAGAGCTTCTTTCCTCTGAATTCAAATTAACCAAAACGAAGTTAACTTCCCTCGTCGGAAAATAATACTATACATCGTTATTCGTAGTACTTGAGAACAGAGAGCCACCCTCTATACCATTTACTAAAAAGCTCTTCTGCAGAGACCACGGTTTTCTCAATACATACATATACTTGTTATATTCGTAAAGAATCTTGTCTACTTACAAGGAGAATACTACTGCAATGTGTCGACGTTATTATGTGTTTCAAACTGAAAAATAACGATGTTTATATCCACTTTCAAAAAAACCATTTTGTTTCGTGCATCCAACCGTATCATGAAAAATGATGAGAATAATTTCAATACATACCTTTTTTCTTATTCGGAAATTTTATTATGCTTTGGCTTGTTCTCTCATTGCTCCTACGTAAACCTATACAATACTGATATACAAAAAAAAATACGCATGACAATATGCGCAAACATAATCATCAAGATATTGTCAATACATTGTTGTTTTTTTTCTCATCCCGTAGGCAGACTACCATTCCAGCGATCAGAAAAATATTAATGCTCTGAAAATTGAATGCTGATCAATAAATTATTCAAATGATCAACAATTAAAATTATTAGACTCGTTGATAGCTAGAAAAAATCCGTAATTTATTTTAAATGATAAACATCAAAATCAAAATGTAATATAATATGATTCTAATAGATGACACACGTATTACAAAACAGATAACAGAAGCGATTAGTGCGCTCCAATTATCCAATGTTACAACTGTATTTATATTAGCATTAATCCTATTTATCACGAGATAGAATATCAACAACAAGAAAAAGCCAATTAATACTAGCATTTTTGAATTATATTGATAATCGCGAACTCAAATCAAATACTAGTACATTTGAATGTATACATCAAGCTCAAACGACGACTTAGAAGAACAATCAAAGATATTGAAATATTTAGAAAACGTCATCTCCGATGAAGTTTCTTGACAATATCTTGAAATATTG